CTCGCTGTAGCGTCCTCCATCCTCGCCTCGTGAAGGGCGCCTGCTGCGCGAACGCCAGGTGTGGTACTCGTTCGAGCGCCGGGACGAGGAGCACGAGCACGGGCTCCACTTGCACGCGCACTGCGGCGTCGTCACAGCCCGCATGGAGCGATCCACACTGCCGGCGACGTCGCGAGGAAGCAGCAGCTAGCGTTGGGCGCAGCAGCCGACGCAGCGCCGCGCCGGCAGCAGTGCTTCTCTCGACGTTGATAGAGCGCGCGCGGACGCGGCGGCAGGATGCGCGCCGCCGCGCAGCGCGAACGTGCAAGCGGCGGCGGCAGCGTGCCAGCGGGGGAGGGTCGACACATGCGTCACTTGCAGAGGCCGAAAGGGAACAGAGCCGCCGTTGTTATTTGTCTGAGGCAATGAGGTGAACTGGCGAGGGGCAATAGAGCGGGAAGATAGCTTCGTTCAGTGTGTTCTCGCGCTGCTTTTCCACGGGCACGTTTGCATGCCGTCCAACGCCTTTCAGCGTATACTCGCCACCATACCCCCCTCCCCACCTTACCACTCGGGAGAATTCACTTGTCGATTGTACCCGCCCCTCCAGTCAAAAGATCCTGGTGCGTGGAACAACCAATAAGTAATTTGATTAATTGATTGGTTTATTGATTGATCAATTGATTCATTCATTGATTCGTTCATTATCTACGGGAAGTTAGGCAAGGGAGCTGGAACAATCAGAATGCATGTCGACACTGGCATGGCCTCTGATACAGAAAGAGTGACACCACGCATGAGTGAGCAATAACTTGAGATTCTGCTTTTGAATGGAAAACAAATATAACATATGACACACAGGTATCCACTGAAATGCACTTACTTTAAGAAAATCATTCTGTAAGGCTGACGAAGCGCGAGGTGATTCGTCAGACAATCCTTCCATTATTTTTTCATCCTATTATCTCTGCCACCTAATTCCGTGCCGCCCGCCACACCTTACGCAACCATTTTTCCTTCATTCGTTCTGAGTTATTGTGGTTAGGACGTGGCACACTTTCTCATGATGTCTGTGACACAATGATAGTACACGTAAAGTCTGTTCCACAATTATGAGAAATCTTGGAGCGCATGGAATCGCGGTGCAGCCAGTGCTGCAGTTGCGCGCCGGCAGCAGCCCACGAATGCGCAGGCACTTCCGAACCGTGGTGTTGAACCGCGTCGTCTGTGGCAATGGTGTGCACTGGCCACGTTGTCGGGCGAACTGCTGATTTCACCGTTGCGGCGGGAACTAGGCCGATACTCTGTACTACACGCTGGGTGATGCCAACCTATAAGCCTTCATTGGCGTTAATCGGGTTCTAGAAACACTATTAGACAACGTACGTTGTTTGCTCTTTTGAAACGCCGTGGTACTGAGTGCGTTCACGTATATATGTTCTTTTTGTGTGCATTACAGCACGCTGCGACGGGGAAGGCCATAATTAGAACGTACCACGCGTGGTATTAATTTCACGCTAAAGAACATCGAAGCACTTTACGGCGACTGCCGTGCAGCTTTGGGGGTTCAACAACATAAAACATCGATAACAATATCAGGAGTGCTGTAGGTCAAGATAACGACATGAACGTGCTTCTCGACGGCACTCATTACATAAGGCAGTGCTCACTCGCCATTGCTGAAATGCACGCGCGAAGCTTCCAACTTCACTTAATAGCTCGTCATGTCCCCACCGTCAGCGTTGGCGGCGCTCATTTTGAATGGTAGTAAGGCTTGCAGTGACGCGATGAGCGATATCGCCCCTGTTCCCACAGTAACGATGAAATTCTCCCGCTGCCCGACAATGCGGCCAGCGCGCGCCGACGTAGCAGAGGACGCGGTGCGACCGTTCCATAGAGTTTCGCAAAATTAACTAGAGGGCACTCTGGCGCTGCGATCGTTCAGCGACCATGGGAATGATGGGTAGTACACACATTTGCCTAGTCTTCGTACTTGCGGGCGGCGAATCGTACTTGCGGCTTCGTTTATTGCTGTGTTTCAGTTTTGTTTTGAAAGAAAAAAACAAACCCTTTTGAACTTAGGGATTTGATTCAAAGTAGTAAGCTTAAAAAGAATAAGGTTGTGAAGCGCAAACGGTGAACATTTGCTAATTTATGTTTTCGTGAAAAAACAGCTCCAAGCTACACGAACACACACGGAGCCAGAAGCAGGCCAGAAGTACGAATATTAGACAAATGTGTGTACTACACATCATTCCCATGCTCGTTGAAGTGCAGCTCCCATGACACTAGCGCCAGAGTTCCCTCTAGTTAGTATTGTGGGAAACTCTGTGGACCGTTCAACACTACGCCTCTCAAGCGTCTGCGAACGCGCGAGCAGCTTCTGGCACATGACTGCCGCACTGGCCGCATGATGGCCGCATCGCGATGCCACGCGCCACGAGATTTCCCTTTAAGTGTAAAACAGACTGTACATTACACAGTACGTTGACTGCCTGCGCGCTGTTCATGGACTTGTAAATGTGCTCTTGAACAAATACCGCATTTTCCGCACTATTGTAAGCACCTGGTGTATAGCTCACCAACAATAACCATGACATTTTTTTTTCTAAAACTATAAGTCGTAGCTGTGTCTTGTGCGTTTATCTTTATCCAATATTAACTGTCTATAGGCCTACTGTTATTGCCAGCAACCGAAGACAGATAGCTTGTGCAATCAGAACGGTTCAAGCACATACTGCGCTTGGTAAAGAAATTTTCGGAGATCTTGGAACATAGTATTGACAAACTCCGTATGATCAGCCAGCGGACCTGAAACGTGTGGCCGCATGCAGTGTTTATTACTGAATTAATACCAATGGTTGAATAAAGACTTCCTGAATCAGTGCTTGCGTATGCCAAGAAGTCTTTATTGGTCCTAGCCGCCGCGAGTTCCCTTCATCACATTTCGTTCTCTTCGCCCTTTATTGGGACGACTTTCTGCTCTCCTAGACTAGAGTATACCAAGTACTCTGAATCGTTAAACAATATACACACACATTATAAACAGCGCATGAAGATAATGGACGGAAAAAAAAAAGAAAGTGCCTATTTTGTTCTTTTTTCATCGCGTCCGTTGTCTTTAGCGCTGTCTATAGATCAAGAGCTCACAAAATGGTGAATTTCACACATGATGGCAAAGTTCTACGCAGTCCGCAATAGAAAACGGGGACGATATTCCTTAAGCTTAAGAAAGCAAATTAGTTCCCACAAATCAATCAATGAAAAGCAAGGTTCTGCATGGCATGCCGTGAGTATAGATATATCGCCCCTGTCAAAATAGTCTGCGTAAGAGTATGAATAGTTATCTCTCATGCAGACCACGACACGTGCCAGACTGATAAGCTAGCCTCTTGCCTGGACATGCGCAGATACGTTTAAGTGCCTTTTCTCTAGTGCACCTTTTTCAGCAGTTACTCGGCGCTTGTGGTGTCTTGGCTTCTCTCTCGATTCCATATTTGCATACCATGTCTCTTTAACATGATTACCAGGGTCAATGGCTGATCCGTGTCATTAGGGTTCTATTATACCTACTCTGTTAAGCTTCGCGCTTCGCACTATTTTGCTGGCATAACAGCACTGTCAGAGCCAGGATCGACAGCCACGTGCCGCTCTACCAATGGCGTCACCCGTGAAGTTTGTTTTCTCAGATCACATGATTCCGAGTTGTTTAGGTACAAATAGGCTGACCCCCCCCCCCCCTCATCACACTCGCCTCATATTATACTGCGATAAACCCGCTTTCTTTTGATGATAGCCGACGCTGCCGTTCTTCGCAACTGTATACTGCACAGACGCTTTATCTTTCGCGACTAGGTATGCACTGTCTTATGGGAGTGTGATAACGTTAGCCTCATAAAATATGGCAGAAGCAAGAGTGCTCGGGCGAATGCCTCGGTGTCCTTACGTTTTATCTGCCCCTCTGTTTGTCCCAGGTTATAAAGCATGAATGCATAGGGTGCATTCTTTTGCCAGGTTACGTATTTGTTCTCCGAAAGAATACAAGCACGTACCTGGTCCAGCGTCCCTCTCGGGTCCTTTGCATTTACGAATCAGACATACTCGGACCTTCATGAATGCGCAGCTTTCGTGCTATATGAGGAGATTCGAGAGGCACGAAAATGGTGGATCCGTACTGGTCCCTTACGCACAAGTGTTTTGGTCTTTTGTTTAGAACAAGTTTATTCTATCATGGGAAGCAACAAACCTATGGAACGAGCGTCTGTACAACAAGCACAATAACAAACAAATGACCAAGAAAAACATAGATGACACATTTAAACAAAAGTGTCCAAGTCCATAGCATGTCCCTAACAAATGTTACTAGTGGCTGCATACACTACATATATACACTAATCACAATATGGACAATGTACATGATGATATATGTAAAGAATTTACAAGACTTGGTGGAAATGTTAGCAAGTATATAGAACAGGTATCAATATTCGTGTAATTTACATAATTTACAGCGTTAGAATGAAGTGCATATGTTCAAGAACACACACCCATACGGGGCATACACAAACACATAGAAATAGTAAACGCATACAGATTACATGCACTAATCAGACATTGACAGGTGACCTGGCTATAGGAACCAGGCCAGGTGGAAGACTAATCGAACACGTCTGTCAACTACGGTCAAAAAGCGGCATGACCATTGTCGTAGAAATTCTTCCTGCCCAAGGAAGAACAATTCCTCCGACAGAAAAGATAAGTGTTCAGAGTATATGCGTTCCAGAATCGGAAAGAGAGCACGACGACGATGACCTGCCACAACAACCTGGCACCTATTACGCCACAAACAAAAAAATGGCAGCATATCCACGGAGTGAATTATGGAGAGTGGAGCGAAGCATTCGTCCGTTCATTCGTCCGTCTGTGTGACCATCCATGCGTCTGTTCGTGCGCCCGTACCTGCGTTCGTTCATGCATTCGCCCCTGCGTCCGTTCATGCGTACATCCATGCATCTGTCTGTGTGTCCGTTTGTCCATCTATTCAACACTCCAAGTCCCACCATCTCGCATCTTTTTATCATATATTCCCCATATAGAAGCACCGCCATTCAGTGTACATTCCAAGGACTAAACGAGAGGTGGCACACGCACACTTTCTTACGGATTGCGCTTCGGGTCTACTTCCCACCTTCAACCACCTTG